ACTAGAAAATAGCTGCAAAGAAATTTATTTAAATGAGAATGAATAAAATGAAAAAACAAGCTGTTATCATTGAAAAATGATCCTTGAAAAGTGATTTAATGAACATTAAATTGTTCCAGAGGGGTTTAACCCTTTCAACATGAAAAAAAAAAAAATGCAATTAGGGAAGCCGTTCTAAGGTAGACATAAAACAACGTTCGGGGAAATTCCCACTGGGTCAGTAGGTACACTTCCACAGATTTTGAGCCGAGAGCTGAGCAATCAGAGAGATCCTCATCAATGCTAATATAAATGTTGCTGGAATTTAAGGGAAGCTCATTGTCCAATCAAGTCGCTAGCTACTGATGAAAAAATTATATTCAATTTCACGTTTCCGCACAAAAGCTACTGAAGAATTAGACGTTACCCAGTTAAAGATGATCGCGAGGTTGAGAGGCTTTTCTGAAAAAAGACAGGGCGTTGGAGGGAGTAATACTTTCTAACGGGAGATTGCCATGCTAATAAATATGCGTTATTAACCAAGCATGAGTTCAAGATGGCTGGATATTGGCCAAGTTCATTTTTTTGAATTGTTATGGACCGAGAAGAAGTCGAGGTCCATAAGAATGCGAAAAATGAACGAGGCTAATATCCAGCCATCTTGACTGAACAAGCTTGGTTAATAAAGAATTTATTATATCGCAAAAAGATTTCGCTCTATTAAGAATTGAGAAGGACTTGTTTATTTCGAGAGCTCAATGTGCAACCAAATCGCTAGCTACTGATCAAAAAAATCATATTCAATATTATGTTTTCGGTACAAAAGCTACTTGAGAATGAAACGTTACCCTGTTATAGATGATAACGAGGTTGACAGGCTTTTCTGAAACAAAATGTGATGATTGCCGGACATCTACCAAAACTCAGACAAGGCGTCGGAGGGCGTAATACTAACTAACGGAAGATTGCCATGATAATAATAAATATCCGTTATTAACAAAGCGTGAGGTCAAGATGGCTGGATATTGGCCAAGTTCTTTTTTCGCATTTTTATGGACTGAGACGAAGTCGAGGTCCATAAGAATGCGAAAATAGAACGAGGCTAATATCCAGCCATCTTGACTGAACGAGCTTGGTTATTTAAGGATTTATTATATCGCAAAAATATTTCGCTTCACTAAAAATTAAGAATGACCTGTTTATTTCGAGAGCTGGGAAAGAAAGCCAACCGTGTTTATAGCACAACAAACTCACGAGTTTAGTTTCTGTTTTCTTTGTTTTGACTATCTTCTGCCGCTTTTTGCGTTTCCATCGTCGAAATTGCACAAGAGTTACAAACGTAGTTCTTATTCTATTATTTTTCATGCGCGGGATCAATGCAGGTACTCCCAAGCGTGCAAGATGGGCCCATCTTACCCGCTCGGGTAACCAATCAGAACACAGGATTCGCTTCATCTTGCCCACGTGCGCTGCGAGCGCTGTCACGGTAATAAATGAGATTTAAACTAGGGTATCTAAAAGATAGTAAAGATTGATAATCTGTCTTCCATACGAGGACATGGATGTGCTTCTTCAACTGTTTTGCCTGTACATCTCATTAATGATCTGATTTGTACACTAGTGAAGCGGCTAAAGTACTGAAATCTCTAAATGTAAAGAAGACTTGTGGACCAGATGGGTTTTCCCGCGGTTGCTCAAAGAATGGCACATGGAACTAGCTCCATCTTTGATGAGGCTGTTTAACGTCTTTAACTACTCCCTCTCTCGTGGCGCACTACCTATTGACAGGAAGACGGCCAACGTAGTTCCAAAATTTTTAAGTCGGGGGAGCAAACGGCAGTTTATAACTATCGCCCTGTTTCCTCAACTAGTATGGTTGTCAAGCCTTTAGAACATCTAATACACAATCACATAATGAGCTTTGTTTTTGATAGCAAATTATTATGTGATAATCAAGATGGCTTCAGACCACTTCGCTCATGTGTAACTCAGCTGCTCCTGCTTGTCCACGAGTGGCTTAGTATTTTTGATGAGCGTGGCTCTGTGGATGCTATTTTTCTAGACTTTGCAACTGAGCCTTCGACAAAGTTTCCCATGCACATCGGCTACTAAAACTTCAACATTATGGAACCAAGGGTCAATTATGGGAATGGATTTCAGATTTATTGACCACAAGAAGACAAAGAGTCATTCTCCTGGCTAGTCTGAGGTAACATCGGGCGTGCCTCAAGAAGTATTTTGGGACCCCTAGAGCGCTCTTTCGTGTTTGTATCGATGACTTTAATTT